CCAGTCTCACCAAGGGACCAGCCAGCCGATTCACTCGGGGGAGATCTACTTCAACGTAGACACCTTCGAGTTCGACAATCTGATGGGTGAGACTGGGCATACGTCCCAGGCGGGGGTGGGAGACCGGCCCAATGAGGAAAGGGACGCCAAGGAGGAGACTTCTGGGGGGTCCCTTCAACGGAAGAAGCGGAAGACTGAGGAAGTCAACCAGCCTTCCCATCAGGGGGCCCAGTCCTCCGACGCCGGCAAGGGGCCGATAGTGCCTCGTTCTCTGGCTTTAATGTCCAGGTCAAACGAGGAGCTCTTCCGAGCATTCCGTGCTGATCTGAATGAGGTAACCCCTTTTCCTCTCCTACCGCCTACTTACCGTTTTTATACTTTTCTGAGTAATTTTCGATGTCTTTGAAGCAGGTCGGCCGGATCGGGGAGGAGTACTTCGCCCGGCTGGTGAAGTCGATGGATGAGGAGAAGGCCCGGATGGAGGCCATGATGGTCAAATGCCGGAAGGAAGCCTTGGCTGCCCGGGCCAAGGCAGAGAAGATAGAGGCCAAATGGACAGAGCATTGTACGGTTTACCGCCAGCTCTATGCCAAGCACGATGGTCTCCTCAAGGCTGCGAAAGAGGCCGATGAGCAGGCCCAGGCCAAGATCAATCAGCTGGAGGCCGAAAATGCTCGGTCAGCCGAGGAAATCGCTCGGCTGGAAGATGAGCTGCAGAAAGAGCAATCGGAGCGTGCCGCCCTTGCTGCTGCCTGGGCCACTCAAACGCCTTAGGAGTTTGCTGCTAAGGCGTTGCCTGACCGGGACTCTGCCACCCGCTTCTTCCAAGGCTTGTACAAGTACGAGGTCTCGGCCGGGATCGTCGACGAAATCGGAACGTACGGCTTTGAAAGCGGCCAGTACTCGGAGCGGAAGGCCCTCTATGGCATCCTTCAGCAGAGGATCCAAAGTTTTCAGCCAAAGGCTCTTTCTCTGCCCGAGCTGCACTCCGAGGCGCCCGAACCTCCCTTCCCGGGCATCTGATCCGTCCGGCCTTCCTTCCTCATCTGATTTTCTCTTTTTTTTTCTTTTTTTTATATGATGTAATGGTCTGCCTCCGGGCACTTTTGTATTTTATTGAAATATTAATGAAAATATGCTTTATGTTATCATTTCTCATCATTTCTCTTCATCTTGGATTTTTTAACCGTTTAGATTAATAAATAACAGCCCGGCTGTATTTACCCGGCTTAGAATACAATTTTACCCAAGTCTTTTCGAAAGACTGGATAGTCAACCGGGAAGACTTTAAGGCTGACCTGTTTCCACAATGGCTCAACGCCCCGTGTGGATAGGCAAACCTTGAGTTTTCTTTCAAAACGTCCGGCTTAACTGGCCGGGATGCTCTCCCACTAGTAAAGCCAATTCGTTTTTAACTCCCGTGTCAGTACGGATGAGGTGTTAAATCAGTCAGACCGGTCTTCTTTTTTTTTTTTTTTGAGATGTCCAATTCGATTGGACGTCTAACCGGGTAGATTGGTACGCGATGAATTACCGGTTAATATATGAGGACAATCTTTCCGAAAAGAGCAAACTTTTATTAATGGTCAGGAACCAGTTACACTTTATCTATAAAATTTACGTAAGTGGTGAGAGTTCTAGTGTCGCTCGACCCGGCTACCTTCCATAGTCTCCAACTGGTAAGTGCCCGGTCTGACAATTGCTTTTACACGATAGGGCCCTTCCCAGTTACGCGCCAGCTTGCCCCTCTCATTAGGCTTACTAGCATCCCTCCTGCGCAAGACTTCATCATGCACCTGGAAGTATCGCGGTCCTACCCGGTTGTCATGATACCGCTTTACCGACTGCTGATAACCGGCCATCTTAACAGCTGCTATGGTCCTTCGTTCTTCCACCAGATTNTTTAACACCTTGAAGAAAGGCAGAGCCCTTTCAGCAGACCGGGAGAGAAAACGGCTCAAGGCTGCTAGCCGCCCGGTAAGTCGTTGTACGTCCTTCAGCGAACTGGGCGACCTCATTTCAGTTATGGCCTTAATCTTCTCCGGATTAGGCTCAATACCACGCTTGGTCACCATAAACCCTAGAAACTTGCCCGTCTTTACAGCAAAGACGCATTTCTTGGGATTTAGACGCAAGCTGTACTTAGCCATAATCTCGAAGCAAAGCCTCATGTCAGCCGGGTGATTTGTCGCGCCCGGGCTTTTGATCAGCATATCGTCCACGTAAGCTTCCATGGATTTACCGAGGAGTGGCTTAAAAAGCCGGTTCACCATCCTTTGGTAAGTGGCGCCCGAATTCTTTAGTCCAAAGGCCATCACCCAGTAGCAATAAGTGCCTTCTAGAGTCAAGAAGGAAGTCTTCTCCTCGTCCTCCTCAGCCATGAAAATCTGATGGTAGCCTTTGAAAGCGTCCATGAAGCTGAGCAATTCACACCCGGCCGTCTCATCGACCATCTGATCGGGACTGGGCAGCGGGTATGAATCCATAGGGCATGCCTTGTTCAGATCCGTGTAATCCACGCACATGCGCCAGGTGTCGCCTTTTGGAGCCAAAACGACGTTAGCCAGCCAGGCCGGGTATTGTACCTCCCGTATGTGCCCGACCGCCAACAAGTCCTTGACTTCTTTCTTCACAAAGTCCCTACGGACGATCGCCAAGTGCCTCTTCTTTTGTTTCACAGGCCGACTCCCTTCCATCACAGCCAAACGATGGCATATGACAGAACGATCAATGCCCGGCATGTCCGCCACACTCCAAGCGAAAATATCTGCATATTCCCGAAGAACTGAGATGATTTCATCTCGAAGTCCTCCGGGCAGATCTCTTCCGATCCGTACCATTCTTTCTGGGAAGGCTTCTCGGAGAACAATCTGCTCAGTTTCATCGCCCGGCTCTAGCTTCGACCGCTCTTCTTCTTGAGAGACCAAAGTGACTCTCTCAAATGCCTTGGTCATTTTCTTTACGGCCTCCAAGTAGCCATGCCGGGCCTTCTTTTGATCTCCTCTGACCTGTCCTATACCGCCCGGGGTATAGAATTTCATGCAGAGGTGGGCCATGGAGACGACTCCACGGACCTTGTTTATTCCAGGTCGGCCTAGGATGGCGTTATGAACACATTTGATGTTCACTACCACAAACCTCATTTGTTTCTGGACGACCTGGTCTCCTGTGCCTAACTCACAAGTAAGAAGGATTGACCCTTCAGCTTCAACAGAGTCCCCGGTGAACCCGGACAGGGGAGTCTTTAAGGGCTCAAGCCGTGTCCGACACAACTTGAGCTTTTCAAATGCATCCAAGTACAAAACGTTGACACTACTTCCCGTGTCAACGAGTACCCGGGAGACATCGACTCCACCCATGTCCATAGTTATAACCAGGGGGTCATTGTGATCTTCTCCGGTGGCGGGGAGGTCCCGGTCAGTAAAAGTGATCGGTTCCCGTCTTGCTTGTTTTGACCGGGGATTGAGGGCTACCGTCCCCACGTAGAGTTCTCGCCCCCACTTCTTCCTTTGGGAAGCAGAATCTCCCCCTTCCGGTCCACCGTAGATGACCTGTAAATGCTCTTTACCGGCGGTTTTCTTCTTTTTATTCTGCTCGGCCGGTTGTCCTTCTGGTCTGACCCATTGGTTCTTCTTTTGCTTAGCCTGGGCCAGATATTCAGGATCAATCTCACCGGCCTCAATCATCTGCTTTATTACCCCCTTCACACTGTTACACTCTGCAGTGTTATGGGAATCAGTTTTGTGAAAGGAGCAATACTTCTCCGTCCATTGTTTCTCGCCGGTCAGTTTCTTCTCTGTTTTGACCGGTTTTACCTCCATGACTTCTGCTTTTATCTTACCGGGCAATGTAATTT